GTGCTAGTTCCAAGCAGCAACTTCAGGGAATCATGTTGCTTAACATTTGGTGAGCAAGCCCAGGTGTTGCAGGCAGTGATGGGAGTTACTACTAGGGGACGCTTTCCCCTCTGAGTCAGTGGGGACCCCAAAGACACAGTGCCATCCTAGGGGTTGATGTGCTTCCATGCAGTGGTGTGGGTGACTCAGTTAGGGGTGCTCTCCCTTCTGAATTACTGCTAAGCTCAATGACTCCCCCGAAGTACTAGGGGGCACTGCGCTTCAGGGAGCAGTGTGGGGATGCTCTCCCCTCAGTCAGTACTGACCCTGGTGCCTCAGTGAGTTGCTAAGGGTCTCTGTGCTGCAGGGAGCAGGGTGGGTGACTCAGCAGGTGCCATTTGGAGTCAGTACTGACCCATACCTTAGCTGCTGGAGTTGCTTTAAAACAGCTGTTCTTTGACCACATGTGGCTATTTAAAAACACCCTGTATGTGGTAACTCAGGGGACCAAAATTCTAACTCCAGTAATTACCACTCTCTAAAATCCCCCCGACAGCCTAAGTCATACACAGCATTCTCCTTCACGTCCTAACCTAAATTGTTGTATGCTGTAGCTGTACCATGTTCCTCCCCAGAGGTGGCTGCATTTCCACAAGGGGCAGAGCAAGGTGTGCGTGTTCTACTCTGTGTGTACATTCTACTCCTCCTCCCTGTGCCTGCATTCACTGCTCTGCAGTCCTTGCTGTTATACAAGCCAAGTTTTCTCTCCTCTGTCACAAACACTACTTTACTAAAGAAAGGGATTGTTTGCCAGTTGTTCTGTTCCACAGAGCTCAGCTTTCCAGACTCTGGGCTGATAAAATCAGACACGCCCAGCTGCACATCTGTGGCAGATTACCCCTTACTTGTACTGAAGGAAGAATCTTCACCAAATGACTCAACTCTGGAACAATTTATTTTGCACTTACATTTGGTGCCGGGTTTAAGAGGCTAATTTTCTCCCAAGCCTGAGGAATTTCAAGCGGCCAGATTATTAAAAAACTGCTTTCAAAGCTGAGGCAGCAGAGAGGGGATGAGTGCATGGACTTGGTTTAGATCAGTGGTTCTCAAACTTTTGTGCTGGTGACCCTTTTCACACAGCAAGCCTCTGAGTGCGACCCCGCCTTATAAATTAAAAAAACTTTTTTATATATTTAACACCATTATAAATGCTGGAGGCAAAATGGGGTTTGGGGTAGATGCTGACAGCTCGCAATCCCCCCATGTAATAACCTCGTGATCCCCTGAGGGGTCCCGACCCCGTTTGAGAACCCCTGGGTTAGATTATCGTGTTCTCACTTCCTGCCTCCGATTCCTTTGAAATCCATTATGTGTTTATTTGTTCTCAAATTTATCACTGACCATGTGAAGTGCTGGCAGAAATAAATAAGACTCGTTGACAAGGTGGATCCTACAGCAAGCAAGCTATGTGGCCAGGAGTGGTTAGAGCAGGGGGCAAGGAGCCAGGACTCCTGAGTTCTATTCCCAACTCTGTCACTGAGGGTATGTCTACACTGCCATTAAACCCCCATAGCTAGCCTATGTAAGCTGACTTGGGCACATGGGGCTCAGAGTATAGGGCTGTTTAATGGCAGTGTAGACATTCAGGCTCAGGCTGTAGCCTGGGACCGGGCGGGGAGAGTCCCAGAGCCTGGTTTCTGCCCAAACGTCTCCATTGTATTTAAACAGCCCCATGAGCCTTGGGAGCCTGAGTCAGCTGACCTGGGCCAGCTATGGTTGTTTAACTGCAGTGCAGACATAGCCTGACAGACGTGGTGAGTTATGGTAAGTGCCTCAATTTTCCCAGTGGGGACAATACCAAGTGAAATGCTTTGAGATCCTTGCATGACAGTGCTACAGGCAGACAAAGGATCATTATCTGTAACCAGGTTCTGCAGCAGCAGAAACTCTGGTCCCTGTCCCAGCAGCTATACTAAGCATTGACTTTGCTGCAGCAGTTGGCACCTACAGTCAATCTTTTGTAACAATATAAGCTTTGCAATGGGATAGGTACTCCTGCGACTTTCTTTGGCAGCGCTATACAGTCCTGGTTTGGATAGAGACACAAACTCATTCGCAAATAATCTCGTTTACAGGCTTTTTTAAGATGACCTGGCACACAGGCAGCATTTGTAACAAATGTTTAATTGAGTGGAGTGGCTGATATCAACATCGCAGAAACCTCAAAAGTGTTTTTTTGTACTGTGCGAATCTGCAGACCTGTAGGAAATCCAGCAAGACACGGTAACTTGGGACTGTGTGGTGTGTCTGTTTGCCAACTTTCTGATGTCTTTATCTCTTCTGAAAAGTGTCATGTTTGCCAAGGGGAAAACAAACAGCACCTTCTCCCGGAGTGATTTGTGGCCCTGTGTAAATTAATGTGGTTTGGGGCTTTTTTAGGGGTAGTTTTCCAGGAGGGAACTAGGAGGGTTAGAAACATACTTTAAAAAAAATTAAATGTGAGATTCTTGTGCAATCGCATGACTAGAGAAGCTGGGCTTTAAGGAAAACATCCAATTTTGCAAGTTTTGCAATAAAATTATAAGAGTTGGCAACACTCAGTTATCCCAATTCTAGTGGCCACATTTTAAAAAGGAAGTTGGAAAATTGGAGAAGGTCCAGAAAGGAGAGACAAAAATGATTTGAGGGCTATAGAAAATTCCTGACAGTGAGAGACTGAAAAAGCTCAATATGTTTAGTTTATCAAAAAGAGATTGAGAAGTGGCTTGATTACAGTGTTTCACAGGAAGAAAACACCAGGGTACTAAGGGGCTCCTTAGCCTAGCGGAGAAAGGCAGAACAAGAGCCAATGGCTGGAAACAAGCCAAACAAATTCAAATTAGAAATTAGGCACAATTTTTCCCCAGAGCTGGTGATTAACCATTGGAACAAACTCCCAGGGGAAATGGGGGATTCTCCCTCTCTTGGTGTCTGCAAATCCAGACTGGATGCCTTGCTGGAAAATGTCGAAGCCTAACACAAATTGTGCTTTTGTCAAAAACAAATTACTGGGCTCAGCGCAGGGGTGGGTGAAATTGAATGGCCTGTGATGTACAGGAGGTCAAACTTCAACTCTATGCATCTATGAAAATTCCAGTGTAGATGATACATGTTACGTTTTCCTTCTGTTCAAGTTCTTATACTCCATTCATTTTGTGCACCTCTGCTTTCCTGTAATAACCTGAAGTGTTGTTGACTAAGAACATTATGCTTAAAATATATGGAGTCAGATCCTCAGCTATTGTAGATCAGACACCATTGGTCTGATTTATAATTTACATCAACTAAGGATCTGGTTGAGAGAGTTTTAATCTCACAGAGTCCCTCTTAGGCCTAGTTCTACACACAAAGTTGCACCAATTTAACTAAATGGGTGCAACACCACACTTCTAGTTAAATCAGTGCATCTTCTTTATGTAGATTAAACTTTTTAATTCTAATAAAGATGGAGATACAATAAGAGTTTTGAATATAACTAAATACCCAAGCTATTTCCAGCAGGGGTTGGCAAAGGCTCAACTGAAACACAATTTTGTGAGCAGCTTGTCCAGTGAAAGTTGGCTGAGAAGTTACAGAGATGTCATGCCGCAGGCATACTGATTTATATTTTTTATTTAGATGAATGACTAATTGGCTTAGCTCTGTGCACTGGATCCCTAAAGAATCCATGCACTTTGGGTCTGCTCCAAAGCCCATTGAAGTCAATGGAAAGACTCAGCAGGCGTGCTGGATCAGGCACTTTATGCATAAACCATGCACTTTGTTCTCTGAGAATCAACGCCCTTTATGCTGAGGCAATCTGTGCATTTTGTTCACTGAGAGAGCATGCATGTTGCACTGTTGAAAAACTCTTGTGATTTGGTCATGAGTCTTGTGATTTTGGTGTTTTCCCTAAAGCCACAGCTACTGGAATCAAGAGAATGCATGAGAATCTCAGCTTCAATTAAAAAAAAAAGGTATGTTCCTAGTCCTAATGGCTGCAGAGAGAAGTTGAAAAACATGAAATGAGAGTATCCTGAAGATTCAGAACCCAGAAGGCAAATTAAAAGAAACAACAATTAATTTTAAAAATAATCTCATAATTTTCAAGACAATCTCATGATTTGAGGGTCCTGGCTCATAATTTCTGAACATCTAAGTGATTTGGGAGCAGAAGTTCTACTGAATGGCAACGGGACTGTGTTTCTAAATTACTTAGGGGCTTTTGAAAATTCCATCTTTTATGCACAATCCATGCATTTTATACACAGGGAATCCATAATTTTATGTACAGTTTAGGCACAAGGAGAATCTTTTCCCTTAATTCCCAGGGAATCTGCATTTTATGCATAAGTCATTCATTTTATGTACAGAGAATCCATGCATTTTGGGTAGAATTTTCAAAAGCATCTAAATTACTTAGCAGCAAAGTCCTATTGAACGTCAAAAGGATATGTGCTCCTAAATCACTTAGGTGCTTTTTTAAAATTTATCTTTTATCTAGGCATATTAAGCACACAGTGCCCATGCATTTTATGCACAGAAGAAGCTCTGCATTTTAGGCACAAGGAAAACTCTTTAAATCACAGGGAACCCATACATTTAATGTACCAAGCCTCCTGCATTTTATGAACAATCAGTCCCCCTTTTGCCCCGGGAGATCTGGTCATTTTATGCATGCAGCGGACACCTCCCTCTGAAAGTTCAGTAAAGAGGACTGCAAGTTTCATAAATAAAAAAAAGTCTGCCCGTTTGTAGCCCCTTCTGAAGAGGATGCCCAAGGCCTCCCCTAAAATGCTTCCTCAGTCTGCAAGCAGTGGAGTCGGGGAAACAGTGCGAAAGAGCAGGCGGGGGCTGGCTGGCTTGTGCACTTGGCCTGGGGAGGAGTTTGCATGCTATTTCTCTGGCTAGCTACATTGTAGCTTTAGCATTGGCTCGCTCGGGCGCAGGAGGAGGGAGCAGCCCTAGCTGAATACATTGCTGGCAGCGCACAGTGTATTGGCTCAAGAAGGCGCAGGGTGGGGAACAAGGGAAGGAAGAACCCGCTGCTGCTCACTCAGTTGCTGGCTGCACCTCGGAGCAGGAGCCTCACTGCCACCAGCATCCGGGACGAAGGGTGAGTACTGGGGAGGTGGAGTGAGTGGCTGTCGGTTTTTTTTTTTTTTTGGTCGCTCTCCCAAAACTTTGAAGGATGCGTGTGTGACGGTACTTGGCAGTGCCAGCTAATACACTGCAGCAATGTCACTTGTCACGGAGCCTGAGACTGGAGTTTTGGAATAGCCCAAGAAGCTATGCTGGGAGTCAGGACTCTTGGGTTCTGTTCCCAGCTCTGAGAGGAGAGCGGGGGTCAGGACACTTGGGCTCTGGTCTCACTTACGGTAGGGGAGTGTGGTTAGAGCAGAGTGGGGCTGGGAGTCAGGACTCCTGCATTGTAGTCATGGCTCTGCGGGGTGTGCGTGGGGGGGCGGTGATAGTGGAATATTTTCTTTGCCTCGGTTTCCCTGTTTGTAAAATGGGGATAATTTCTGCTGCCAGGATGTGTGCATGAGGCCAAGAATGTTTGAGTTGCTTTGAGGCCCCAGAAAGAGGGCAAAGTCTTAGCTTTCCGAACCAGGAGGGCAGTGTTTTCTTGCAGTGTAAGTTGGTAGCTGCTACCACTTTTCTTCCTTGTCGAGGGCGGTGGGCCTGGCACTGAAATGGGATCCCTCTCCTTCTGTCTCATTCCATCTGTTAACAACCAGGGCTGACTTTCCAGGGTATTTGTTTTAAGGGAGTGAAATCTGTAATCAGTAAAGCTTGTTAAATTCGCTCTTACTGCTTGCAACAAGAGGGGAGGGGGAAGAAATTAATTCTCTCACATTTTAAATCGAGCTGTGGTACTTAGTAACTGCCTTTTAAATTTAGAGCTGGACTTCAGGGTATCATTTACCCATCGTCTGCTATATAAAGCTCTGGTCGTCGCCCATGAGGATTTTTTTTTACACCTATGTAACATGTCTACATCTCGCACGATCTACATACAGCAACCTGCCTTATATAATTTTAGAAACCAGCTGTGAAGTTTATAACTATCTTTAGATTAACTTTGGCAAATTGAGATGCTTGAAATAGATGTCATGTTCCGGATGATGGGCTAAAGGACTGATTCTTACTTTTAGACCTCTTGACACTGGCAGAGCAGTGTAAAGGCCCTTGGGGTAAATGAGAAGCAGGCCTTATGGATCTTAAATAAGTGACATAGTAGGGGATAGCTGGGGAACCATGCAGGTGTAAATCTGAAGTAATTCCACGGGGCTCCGTTTATTCTTGTGTTACTGAGTGTGGAATCCACCCTAATACAAGAATATTGAAATTACCTTCCAGTCCAGGATCCTGCTTCCAACATTGCCCAGTACCAGCTGCTTCAGAGGAAGATGCAAGAAACCCGTAGAAGGCAATTATGGGATTACTTGACCCAAGGGGAAACTTTCTTCTCACCCTAATGTTTAGAGGCTGGCTTATATCTCATTAATGATTGTCACTAGTAGGTGCCCAGTAAGACAGGGTGTTGCTAGTTTAAGGAGCAGGGCCGGCTTTAGGCTGATTCCCCCGATTCCCTGGAATCGGGCCCCGTGGGTAAGAGGGCCCCACACTCGCGCCTAAGAGGGCGGCGGAAGACGCGGAGCGGACCCCCTGCCGCTGAAGACCCAGACCGCCGCCGGGTATTGGAATCGGGCCCCGCAGGTCCTAAAGCCGGCCCTGTTAGGAGGACCCCTCTTCTATTGTACAGAATTGAAGGACTGGAAGGTACCTTGAGAGGTCATCTAGTCCAGTCATCTGCACTCATGGCAGGCACTCTAGACCAGGGGTTGGTAACCTTTCAGAAGTGGTGTGCCGAATCTTCATTTATTCACTCTGATTTAAGGTTTTGCATGCCAGTGATACATTTTAACGTTTTTATTAGGTCTCTTTCTATAAGTCTATAATATATAACTAAAATATTGTTGTATGTAAAGTAAATAAGGTTTTTAAAATGTTTAAGAAGCTTCATTTAAAATTAATTTAAAGTGCAGAGTCCTCTGGACCAGTGGCCAGGACCCGGGCAGCGTGAGTGTCACTGAAAATCAGCTCGCGTGCTGCCTTCGGCACACGTGCCATAGGTTGCCTACCCCTGCTCTAGACCATCCCTGACAGGTGTTTGTCTAGCGTGCTCTTAAAAATCTCCAATGATGGAGATTCCACAACCTCCCTAGGCAATTTATTCCAGTGTTTAATTACCGTGGCAGGAAGTCTTTCCTAATGTCCAACCTAAACCACCCCTTGCTGCAATTTAAGCCCACTGTCTCTTGTCCTTCTTGAAGTATTTATTTGTTATATTATTATTTCATTATTCTTTGTATTTCAGTAGCAACTTGAGACCCAAAAGAGGTTGGGGCCCTACTGTGTCTGGCACTGTACAGACAGATTTTGAGAAATGGCCCCTGCCCCAAAGAGCATACCATGTAAATAGACAGGACAGACAAAAGGTGAAAGTGGAAACAGCCAAGTGGCAAAGAGAGGGGAAGAGCCTAGAACCCACCTCTCCAGATACTCAGCCCAGCATCTTAGCCACTAGACAGCATTACTTTGTTCACTATATCTTACAGTTAGACACATGTTTTACGGGTTTCCGTCACCCAATCTGAAGTTTGGGCCTAACTTTCCCCTCTTCATAGTTGCCCCCACATCCTTGGATGATTCTCCCCTCTCTAAGGAAGATGATCATTAGTTATCTTCATCCTCCAACTAGCCAAGGCAAGAATGCAGGTTCCAATGTCCTTGGCGTTCTGTAACTTGGCCAGCGGGAAGTGCTTGCAATGGGAATAGCTGCCAGTCCCCAGAGTCCTGAGCTTGCATTGCCTGGCTGCTAGATAGCTGAGGTGGCTGGCGTACTATGTTACTGGCTACCAACTCACCTAATGTCTTGGGCGTCGTGGAATAAATAACTTCTTAGGATTGGCTTTGCTCCCAAAGCCTGCCTGCCTTGCTATACCAATCCTTCCCCAACTCCCTGGTGGGCTAATATGGTGTCTCATGGCATCTTTCTGACTAGTGATCTGCCAGGAGAAGGGTAGTTCTGAGTACTTCATCTCCCTTGTGGGACTTGCACATACATTTCGCTGTCCAACTCCTTTGTGGTCTAGACTAGCTTGGAGTCAACAGCAGGGCAAGCCAGTGAAGGGAGGAGACACAGAACAAGGGAAGAGAGATTCCAGGGTAGGTTGGCAACTTGAAGGCCCACGGGTCCCTTGAAGAGAATCTTCTTTCCAAATTGTTTTGCCACAGAGCTTTGCTTTGTTTTACATTGACAGAATAATTTTGGTAGGGGGGGCTCAAGGGTTTGGTTTTAGGTTTTTTTTGGGGGGGGGGGGGGGGGCCGTTTACTTGATGATTCGGAGGATGGGGTTGTGGGCTGTATCCACTCTACAGATAAATCTATCTTGGGTATTTTTAAAACATTCCTCTTTAGGGCAAAAGTTTTCCCTGGAGCACTAAACAAATAGTTTTCTGTGAGTGGGGTGAGGGAAATGACCCTCCATGTAACTAAGAGACCTTTGTGGGGCTGGAAAGGTGAAACTTCTTTTAAGAGGATCCCTGACAGATACAGCCATCTAGTGGATGTATGGGAGAACCAGGTGGATTCTCTGCTAAGGAATGTCAGTCAGTCCCTTAGCATGCTTCCAAACTCTGTGCTTACATGTATAAGAAAACCAGCCAGCGCAAGACTTTCTATTCCTTCAGAGGGGAAAAAGGAATATTTTAATCTAAGGCCTTGTTTATATTGGGATGTTAGCCATCGGTGCAAGCCCCTATGTAGATGTGTTTTACATAATTGTAACATGATTTCCACCAGTGCAGTTTACCCTGAGGATAAGCTGCACTGGTGTAAATAGTGTCTACACAAGGAGTCAGTCTCCTTGTTGCCTTTCACCTTGTGTGGTCATTTATAGTGGTGCAAATCACTTACTGCTCTGACTTAGTAACATTTTAAACACACCTTTGCTGCCTTCACTTTGACTGATGTAAATGACTTCCCAAGCTGCAGGTCAGTGGAGAATCTGACCCCAGGAGTTTGGACTGGTGCTAAGATCCCAGATTCTGATCTTGCTTATACTAGTGTAAATCAGGAGCAGCTCCACTGAATTATTTGGTGTAACACTGTGTCTTTTCACCAGTGTATGTAAGTTCAGTATGTAGACAAGGCCTTAGTCTCAGAAGTTGAAGGGTGTGTGTGTGTGTGTGTGTGTGTGTGTGTGTGTGAAGCTGATTCTCCCTTGTATGCACATCATGGAGTCATTTAACGCCTGTGCAGAGTAGGTGCAAAACTCTACTGCTAGCTGCCATGGTTCACCACTGTGTTACTCCTGTTCTATATCAGTGTAATTTAACTGAAAATGAGTCACACTGGCATAAACCTGGGGTAATGCTGTGATCTACAGGTGATAAGAGCTAGGGATTATTGTTCTTTTATTATTTAAGATTTTGGAAAATCAAACTACTTGAATAACCAAAAATGTTTCCATGACTTTTTTTTGGGTTTAATTCCCATGCTAATAAATAAGCATTCCCTCGCAGTGTTTACAATGCCAACAGTGGAGCACGTACCAAGGAATCAATCTCTCGCTATTACTCTGATCCCCCTACTGCTGAAGCCCCTGATCCTGCAGTAGGATGGGATGAAGACTATTGTGGACAATACTGTAAGCTCTTTGGGGCAGGACTGTCTCATTGTTCTATGTTTGATCAGCACTTAGCACAATGGGGTCCTGCTGCATGACTAGGGCTCCAAGGTGCTGCTGCAATACAAATAATAATCCCTAGCGCATACCCAGTGCTTTTCATCAGTAGATTTCAAAGTGCTTTACAAAAGAGGGCAGAATCATTATCACCATTTTGCAGATGGGGAAAACTAAGGCACAGAGAGGGGAAGTGACGTGCTCAATGTCACCCACCAAAGCAGTGGCAGAGCCAGGAGTTGAATCCAGGACTCATGGGTCCTAGTCCAATGCTCTATCCACTAGGCCACATTGCCTCTCCCTTACTAAATGTTAATGAATTTTAGCCTGGCAAGAGTCCTGGGAGGTAGGTAAAGGGAGT